CTTTTTTTTTTTTTTTTTTAATTAGGAGACAGGGTCTCACTATGCTGCCCAGGCTAGACTTTAACCCCTGGGCCCAAGTACTCCTCCTGCCTCATCTTCCTGAACAGCTAGACTACAGCACATGCCACTGTATCCAGCTTGCTTGAAAAAAAAATCTTGTGAAGTCACCTGACAGCTTTTCTATATAAAAATCTCTAACCAGGCACAGTGGCTCATGCCTGTAATCCCAGTACTTTGGGAGGTCAAGATGGGAGAACAGCTTGAGCTCAGGAGTTCAAGACCAGCCTGAAAAACAAGGTAAGACCCCATCTCTAAAAAAAAAATTTAAAAATTAGTTGGGTGTGGCGGCAGCTTCTTGGGAGGCTGAGGTGAGAGGACTGCTTGAGTCTGGGAGATTGAGACTGCAGTGAGTCATGATCACACCACAGCACTCTAGCCTAGGTGATAGAGTGAGACCTTGTCTCAAAAAAACAAACAAACAAACAAAAAAATCTCTTACAAATTCCAATTTACAGGAAGGTAAAGACTTTGAAAGAAAAATGTGCACAAAAAATTCACAGGCATTTCACATATACACAGAATAGGATAAAAACATACAAAATGGTTCAGCCTTCTTTATAATCTAAGAAGAATAAAATGATGAAGATATAATGTTTTTAACTATCAAGTTGAAAGTTTAAAAACCCAGAATAATTAATACTGACAAAAAGGCAAGAAAACAATTTCTCATGTATTGCTGGCAAAATTTCTAGGAGGCAATTTGGCAATATTAGTCAAAAGTCTGAAAACTATAAATAAATATATTTTGACTCAGTAATTCCATTTATCTTCAAGGGAAAGTAACTTCAAGTGTGAAATTAATGTACAAAAATGTTTGTTCAAGCATTATATATAAAAATAAAAAACTAGAACCACCTAAAGGTTCAACACTAGGGAAACAGCTTAATAACTATATAACTATATCTACTCAGTGTAGCTCTAAGTTTTAAACATAACGGTTTTGAAAACTGAGTAGAATGGGAAAACCCTCATGATACATTATTAGGAGACAAAGTTATAAAACAGTATGAAGAATATGATGTCAATTGTGTACACAAAAAATATATAAAGACATGTACCAATACAGTAATAGTGGTTACCTATGGGTAGAAAGATTGGAGAGGATTATCTTCTTTTCTGCTTATTTCCTATATTATCTACTTTCCTACAATAAATACGTATTAATTTTGCTGGCTAAGTACTTTATCTATAATAACCTAATGAGACAGGTACTATTATTATTCTCATTAAAATTTTTTTTTAAATTTATTTTTGAGATAGGGTCTCACTGTCACCCAGGCTTGAGCACAATGGTACGATCACATCTCACTGCAGCATTGATCTCCTGGGCTCAAGCGATCCTTCTACCTCAGCCTCCCAAGCAGCTGGGACCACAGGTATATACCCCCATACCTGGCTACTTGTTAAAAATTTTTCGTAGAGATGGGTTCAAACCATGTTGCCCAGGCTAGTCTTGAACTTTAGCCTCAAGCAATCCTCCCACCTTGGCCTCCCAAAGTACTGGAATTACAGGTGTGAGCCACCACACCTAGCCTATTCCCATTTTAAATAGAGGAAACTGAGGAACCAAGAGGTTAAATAGCTTGCCCAAGGTCATACAGTCATGAAGCCCAGATTCATCTAAAGTTGACCTGCCTCCAGAGCCTAATCTCTTCATCACTTTGCAAATATGCACATTAAAAATAATAATTAAGCTGCACACAGTGGCTCACACCTGTAATCCCTGCACTTAGGGAGGTCGAGGTGGGTGGATCACTTGAAGTCAAGAGTTCGAGACCAGTGTGGCAAGCTTAGTGTAACCCCATCTCTACTAAAAATACGGAAAATAAGCTGGGTGTGGTGGCAAGCGCCTGTAATCCCAGTTATTCGGGAGGCTGAGGCAGTAGAATCACTTGAACCCAGGAGGCAGAGGTTGCAGTGAGCCAAGATGACAGCACTACAGTCCAGCTTGGGCAAAAGGGTGAGATTCCATCTCAAAAAAAAAAAAAAAAAAAAAAAAAAAAAATTTTAAAGCAATGTGCCAGAAAATCTACAATTACATGCACTACAAATTCTTAAAGAAAGAGGATCTATGTGGGCCAGAATTTTCAGAGCAAATAGGGAGGCAGAATTTCAGGGCAAACTGGGAACCTGATAGCTCCCTCCTTTCAGGTTGTGTCTTTTTGTTTTTACTCAGATTAACTGAAAAGTCACCGATTCCCTTCTCTACCACCATTCTCCCTCCCTTCAATACAGACACAAACAAACAGCATTCTTGAAATCTCATGCTGCATGTGGCAGCGCTCCCTCGCCTCCGTCCTGGCCCACCCAATTCCTTGAGAATTCCTTTTCTGCTTGAAAGGCCAAGGTAGGTCCCATCAATAACGCCTCAGAATTCTATGCAGACATAAAAAAAAATTAACTCACATTCTAAAAATAATGTGTTTTCCATTTTACTTCCAAACAGAAATGCACACAATTTCCCCTAAGGAAGTTACAAGGTAGTTTAGATGAAAGTAAAGTAAGTTCTTGGAAAGGCATTATTAAAATACAGAAGACTCTTGGCAAACTGTGGTGGGTAGCATGTGAATAGGCAAGATCACAGGATCTTTTCCTGTGTATCATGTAATGTTCCTGCTCTAGCCTCCAAACAAAGGCCTGCAAAGGTAAGTGCTTGCAGTTAACACCCTGAACCACCTAGGGCACCTTGGGATTTCTGTATGGAGGCAAGAATGATTAAGTTGGAAGGGACTGAAGAAATGTTTTCTGTATCTTAGAGGGAAAAATATTAAGAAGCAGTATAAAACAAGCTCCAATCATCTGTTATTCTTTTTTATTCCTTTTCTCTTTTTTCTCTGTTATTCTAAAACTGGACATTGGATCAGGTAAAAAAGAAGTGAAGTTTCTGCCAGCAGAAGCAGGAATTTAGACTATTAGATAAAATATCACCACTAGTGTTGAAATTAACTTACTAAACAACAAGGATACCTTTTTAAGTTCAGGGACTAATAACAGTACTCCCCAGTTAGAGTTCATAAAGGATTATTTTGTTTTGTTATTCCAGGTCTTATTAAAGGCAAGACTTTATTATTGAAGGGCTGTGGTTTTACACCTAACTGATAAATTAGAGAGTTTGATTCATATGTCCAGTACACAGATATACATTATCATATTTTTGTTTTGCAAGAGTGAATCCAACAAAAGATACTATTACCAAGGAAGGAGATTAGTGAGGATGAGCTCCTTCAATGAGAAGGATTTATGAAGCAGGCCCCAAAATGCAGGTCAACTGCTTTTTTTAAAAAACAAGATTTTTGGCTGGGCAGGTGGTTCATGCCTGTAATCCTAACAACTTGGGAGGCTGAGGCGTACGGATCACCTGAGGTCAGGAGTTCGAGAACAGCCTGGCCAACATGGTGAAATTCCGTCTCTACTAAAAATACAAAAAAATTAGTCAGCATGGTGGCGGGTGCCTGTAATCTGAGCTACTCAGGAGGCCAAGACAGAAAAATTGCTTGAACCCAGGAGGCGGGGGTTGCAGTGAGCCAAAATCAAGCCATAGCACTCTAGCCTGGGTGACAGAGCAAGACTCCATCTCACAAAAAAAAAAAAAAAATTTTGTCCAAAGTAAATGGCAGTTTTCATATCCTCTTTGAAAAAGTTGTAAGGTCTCCAATTTGATGAGATACTCTATTAAGATATAATTATTTGAGGGCCGGGCGCGGTGGCTCACGCCTGTAATCCCAGCACTTTGGGAGGCCAAGGTGGGTAGATCACGAGGTCAAGAGATCGAGACCATCCTGGTCAACATGGTGAAACCCCGTCTCTACTAAAAATACAAAAAATTAGCTGGGCATGGTAGCGCGTGCCTGTAATCCCAGCTACTCAGGAGGCTGAGGCAGGAGAATTGCCTGAACCCAGGAGGCGGAGGTTGCGGTGAGCCGCGATCGCACCATTGCACTCCAGCCTGGGTAACAAGAGCGAAACTCCATCTCAAAAAAAAAAAAAAAAAGATATAATTATTTGAAAAGCAGTGTATGATCCTTGTATTGTATGAAAAGCATTATATGAAAAAAATGTTCATAACTTACACCCAGTACTTTAATTTTTGGTAATCCATCTTAAGGAATTAATTGTACACAAATGTACAAAACATTTATGTACAATACTTTCTGCTTTTCAAATGACATTCCAGGGGCTTCCTTAATGTCTAATAATAGGAAACCAGTAAAATTATGGTATATCCACATGATAAAATATTTTGCAGCTATTAAAAATTATGTTGTTTTGGGCCAGGCACAGTGGCTTACTCCCGTAATCTCAGCACTTTGTTGGGAGGCTGAGGCAGGTGGATCACGAGGTCAAGAGATCAAGACCATCCTGGCCAACATGGTGAAACCCCATCTCTACTAAAACTACAAAAATTAGCTGGACATGGTGGTACATGCCTATAATCCCAGCTACTCAGGAGGCTGAGGCAGGAAAATTGCTTGAACCAAGGAGGCAGAGGCTAGAGTGAGCAGATCTCATGGCACTGCACTCCAGCCTGGTGACAGAGTGAAACTCCACCTCAAAAAAAAAAAAAAAATTATGTTGTTTTAAAAAATTAATAACATAGAAAATGCTCAGAAAAAACACTGAATGAAAAAATATGTGATAAAACTGCTCTTATGTATTTTACTTTAAAAAGCATATATAGGGCCGGGCACGGTGGCTCACATCTATAATCCTGGCACTTTGGGAGGCCGATGCGGGTGGATCACAAGGTCAAGAGATCGAGTCCATCCTGATCAACATGGTGAAACCCTGCCTCTACTAAAAATACAAAAAATTAGCTGGGCATGGTGGTGCATGCCTGTAGTCCCAGCTACTCAGGAGGCTGAGGCAGGAGAATTGCTTGAACCCAGGAGGCGGAGGTTGTGGTGAGCCGAGATCGCGCCATTGCACTCCAGCCTGGGTAACAAGAGCGAAACTCTGTCTCAAAAAAAAAAAAAAAATGCATATATATTGAAGTGGAAATTTGGCCCAGGATTTTGTAAGCACGTAGTCAGCAACAGTCCCCATTTTAAAATTGCCCCTATTATTGCTAGTAACTGCCTCTTTCTGCTTTTGTACCTCAGATTATTGCTTACTAACTAAAAAGCCTTAAGGAAAACTCTGCGTCGTCTAAAACCTGCTGCGTTGTCTAAAGTCCTGAGTTACTTCCCCTGCCCCTTTACCTATAAAAACTGTGTACTTTTCTCAGCCGGCATCCAGACTTTTGGGTGTGAACCCTTCTTGGCCTGCTGGCTTAATAAAATGTGTTCCTCCGATCCCCTGAGTGCTGCTTGGGCTTGTTGTCAGGGAAGATTTTCCAGAACAATATTAGAAAATATACCCAGGTATGATGTCTCATGCCTGTAAACCCAACACTTTGGGAGGCCAAAGTGGGAGGATCACTTGAGGCCAGGACTTTGAAACAAGTCAGGGCAACATAGCAAGATTTCCGTTTTCACAAAAAAGAATTTTTTTTTTTTTTTAATTAGCTGGACATGGTGGCACATAGTCCTAACTACTTGGAAGGCTGAGGCAGGAGGATTTTGAGCCAAGGAGTTTGAGTGAGCTCTGATAGTGCCACTGCATTTCAGCCTGGGTAACAGACTAATACCTTGTTTCTAAATTAAAAAAAAAAATCACCTGAGGTCAGGAGTCCAAGACCAGCCTGGCCAACATGGTGAAACCGTGTCTCCACTAAAAATACAAAAGTTATAGGGGCGCAGTGGTATGCACCTGTAATCCCAGCTGCTCGGGAGGCTGAGGCAGGAGAATCCCTTGAACCCAGGAGGTGGAGGTTGTGGTGAGCCGAGATCGCGCCATTGCACTCCAGCCTGGGCAACAGAGCAAGACTCCATTTCAAAAAAAAAAAAAAAAACTAAAAACTCATCTTGGTAGTCAATACATAGGGGTACTTGTATACTTATAAACATCTCTAAAAATAAATAAACAGCTCCAGTTAAGAGATCTGTTAAAACAGAAAGTCTGTTATAGGAATTGCCCAAAGACAATATTTTTATTGTCTTATGCAACAGACTTTGTTCTGTCTCTAAAACAAAATGCAATATATTAAATATGAAAGACAAAACGGAGGCATGTGAAGCCCACTCAGATCAGGACTTAAAATGGTATTGGTATTTCAGAAGCAATCTAGTTAGTGTAATTAGTCACTGTGATTCCATGTCCTGTATGTGTTAGAACTGTATTCTTCAGCATTTACCAGTCGGAGGTGCTTCACTCTCTCTATCCTGCAGCATGGAGACGTCTTTTTTTCTAAGGCAGACAGATAGACGCCAACAGATGGCTTGTATTATGTATCTGAAAAAAACTGTTTATGATACATCTCTGCTACAAATAAATTTCAATAACCTTGACTCTGCAAAAATTGTTTGTTTGTTTTTGAGACTGAGACAGAGTCTTGTACTGTTGCCCAGGCTGGAACACAGTGGCACGTCCCTGGCTCACTGCAACCTCCGCCTCCCAAGTTCAAGCGATTCTCCTGCCTCAGCCTCCAGAGTAGCTGGGATTACAGGCACCCGCCACCACGCCCAGGTAATTTTTTGTATTCTTAGTAGAGACAGGGTTGCACCATGTTGGCTGGGCTGTCCTCGACCTCCTGACCTCGACCTCCTGACTTCATGATTCACCTGCCTCGGCCTACCAAAGTGCTGGGATTACAGGCATGAGTCACCACACCCAGCCCAAAAACAGTTTAATCCTAAAAAGAAGACAAACATTGTAAACTTCCTTCATTTTTATTATTATTATTTTGAGAGGGAGTCTTACTCTGTCGCCCAAGCTGGAGTGCAGTGGCACGATCGCAGCTTCCTGCAACCTCCACCTCCCAGGTTCAAGTGATTCTCTTGCCCCGGCCTCCCAAGTAAGCGGGTTTAAAGGCATGCACTACCACGTCTGGCTAATTTTTTGTATTTTTAGTAGAGACAGGGTTTCACCGTGTTGGCCAGGTTGGTCTTGAACCCCTGACCTCAGGTGATCCGCCTACCTCAGGTGTACAAAGTACAGGATTACAGGCCACTGCTCCCAGCCCATTTCATTTTTATAACTAGCACTGGTTATCTCTAATGAGCTTGTGGAGTACAGTAGAAATAAATATAATAGTTATATTTTTATGATATGAATTGTATGAAACTCAGTGTGACAGCTACCCAAATTATTAGACAAACTTCCAGGGCTGTAAAAATTCAATAACATCATTTCTCATACTCTGTTCACAAAAGTCTGGATTGAATGTTGATTCATTTCTGCAGCCCTGTGTAGTTCAAACAAACTACAATATGTTAGAGAGCTTATACTTTTATCATATTTTAATAATGTTCCTAATTTTCTTTTATTAATGAAATCAAAGCATCTTTAGCAAATGATACTGAGTGGTTATGAGTGAATGTGAACTGCTAAAAAAAGAAACACTGAATTCTAAATTATTAGCATCAGCTCTGCAATGGACACAAGTTGGCTTAACATAAAGCCATGAATCTTTTACTTCACACTGTTCTATCACTTCGGTAACTACATAACTTCCTACAAACAGCACATAATACTGTAATACATAAGAAATCTCATCTCTCACTAATTCTATTATCTCCCATCAACTAACATACTCTTACATTATATATGCCTTTATGTTAAAGGCATATATGATACCTGAAACATTTATCCCAATTTCAAAAAATTCAGTTTCTTCCAAGGTATATGTAAATCTCAAGGAGCTATTAATAAAACTCCCCTTTGAATTCCAAAACACCAGGCCAGGAGCCATGGATATATTCCAAAGATAATAGTTAATCAATTTTATACAGTAGCAGCACAATTCTGGAAACATTAGAAATGCTACTCTCAGCTTTCTTTGTCCATAATAATTAAGCAGAATAAATATTTATGGAAAGAAGATAGAGCCTGATACATCTCCTTATAACTGTCATAATGTCAACCACCCTAAGCTGGCCACAGCAGCTTGTGCCTGTAACTGCAGCTACTCAGGAGCCCAAGGAAGGAGGATTGCTTGAGGCCAGGAGTCCAAGACCAACTTGGTCAACACAGCAAGACTCTATCTCTAAAAATATATTTTAAAATTAGCTGAGCATGGTAGCACACACTTGTATAGTCCTAGCTACTCAGGAGTCTGAAGCAGGAGGATCACTTGAGCCTAGGAGTTCAAGGCTCGAGTGAGCTTAAAACAACCCTAACCCTTACAAGGGTAGGACAGAGAAATGATCCTTAGATGGCAGTGGAAATAGAGGTTAGAGGACTGAACCAAGAATAAACATTGAAGAGTTCAGTCCTATGGCACAGAAGCTTTAAATTAACCTGAGGCTTCTCTGCATTATGCTGGGTTTATGAACATTGAGGGGATGAATTTAAAGACATAAATGGCTTAACATAAAATAGTGTTCATTTGAAGTTTCTAATAGTGTTCATTTGAAGAAGACTATTAGAAAAAAGGTGAACTCTGAACCAACAGGACACGAAGCACGGACACCACAGGTATACACACCCTCCACATTGCCCAAGGTTGTTGTCACTCCTTTTGCAAGTCAAATGTGGGGGTGGGGGGAGCATGGCAGGAGTAGCTGCCTATGGTGCTGAACCCCAGGACACAGCACAGGCCAAGAACTAGCCAAGACCACACAGGGCTCCTCAGTGGAATTTCACACTGTGATGGTTAATATTGTCAACCTGATTGGATTGAAAGATGCAAAGTATTGTTCCTGGGTGTGTCTGTGAGGGTGTTGTCAAAGGAGATTAACACGTGAGTCAGTGGACCAGAAGAGGCAGACCCACCCTCAATCTGGGTAGGCACCATCTAGTCAGCTGCCAGTACAGCTAGAATAAAGCTGGCAGGAGAAGATGGAAGAGCAGACCTGCTGAGTCTTCCAGCCTTCCTCTTTCTCCTGTGCTGGATGCTTCCTGCCCTCGAACAACAGACTCCAAGTTTTTCAGCTTTTAGACTCCTGGATTTACACCAGTGTTTGCCAGGGGCTCTTCGGCCTTTGGCCACAGACTGAAGGCTACACTGTCAGCTTCCCTCCTTTTGAGGTTTTGAGATTTGGACTGATCCACCACTGGCTTCCTGGGACTTTACCTTGTGATCCTGTGAGTCAATTCTCCTTAATAAATTCTATCCTATTCTGTCCCTCTAGAGAACCCTAATGCACACATATATTCTACTTTTCCACAGTTATAGCCCAAAATCATTACCAATTTTCCCATAATTTCCACTTATTACTTTCACCATTAAAAATGATTTATGTTGGCCAGGTGCAGTGGCTCACACCTGTAATCCCAGCACTTTGGGATACCAAGGCGGGCAAATCACAAGGTCAGGAGTTCAAAACCAGCATGGCCAACACAGTAAAACTCCGTCACTACTAAAAAAAAAAAAAAAAAAGTACAAAAATTAGCTGGGCGTGGTGGCGCATGCCTGTAATACCAGCTACTCAGGAGGCTGAGGCAGGAGAATCACTTGAGCCTGGGAGGCAGAGGTTGCACTAAGCCAACATCACGCCACTGCACTCTAGTCTGGGCAACAGAGTGAGACTCCGTCTCAAAAAAAAAAATGATTTATGTCTTAGTAGTTCTGGCTGCTGTAACAGAACACCATAGATTCAATGGCTTAAACTACAAACATTTATCTCTCACAGTTCTGGAGGCTGGAAAGTCTAAAATGAAGAAACCAGAAGATTTGGAATCTGGTGAGGGCCATTTCCTGGCTCATAGAACACTATCTGCTCACTGAGTCCTCACATGGTAGAAGGAGGCCTAGAGAGTCTCTGAGGTCTCTTTTATAAGGATATAATCCCATTCATGAAGGCTCCAAACTCACGATTTTTGTATATCCCAAAGGCCCCACCTCCTACTACCATCACACTGAGGGTTAGGATTTCTTTTTTTTTTTTTTTTTTTAAACAAATCCACATTTATTTATTGACTTCTCATTAGTTTAAATCCTTGAGGGGTACAGCATCACTTGGATTCTATGTCCAATAGCCTTAGCAGGAAGGTTGCCTTGGAATTTGGCACAAACCATGCCACTGTTTCCGTGGGCCCGAGTTACCTTTCCCTAGATTACTCTGGTTTGGTTTGGTTTGCCACCAGGAGTCACTGTGTTGTTCTTTGCTTTGTATACATAAGTGCATCTTTTACCCAAATAGAATTGTTTCATCTTGGGCAAAAATACCTTCAATTTTAAGAAGAGCTGGTTTACAACCAGTATCTTAGATAAATGATAAAGTTGAAGATAAATCTATTAATAGATAAATATATGTATTTGGATTAGTATAATGCTTTTTGTCATATGGAGATTAAGCATAACAATTTCTCCCAAAAGCTCTTAAAAATATTACTTCATTAAGTGAGAAGTAGAAAGATAGCATTTAGTAATGTTTAATTTTGATGACATGCATGTATGGTAAGTGAGCATTTGAAGACGGAGACTTGCAAACAGGTTTCCCAAAAGTAAGACACTTTTTACCACTCCAATTTATGGAAGTCTGTCTCCAAGATAGTTTCCAATAATCCCGACCTCCTATAATTAATGCCTTTGTGAAGGCTTCTTCCACAGTGGATCAAGGCTGGGTCTGTTTGACCAATAGAACATGCCGAAAGTGGCAATACCTAACTTCTGAGGCTAGCATGAAAAGCACGCATCTTCTGTCTTGGCATCTTGAGTCACTTACTCTGGGGAAAACCAGCGGCCATGCCATGAGGAAATTCAAGCAGCCAGTAGAAAGGATATACACAACAAATAGCAGCTACCACCAACATGCCAACCATGCGAACGCACCATCTTAGAAGTGGACCATCTCACTGCAGTCAAGCTTTCAGATGACTGCAGCCCCACCTGGCATGTGACTGCAATTGCCTTGAGGGACTAAGGTCAGAACCTCTTGGCCAGGCCGCTTCCTAATTAATTCCTGACTGACTGACAGACTAAGAGACACAATAAATAATTGTTGCTGTTTTAAGCTACCACGTTTTAGGGTAATTTGTTATACAGCCTTAGTAACCGAAACATAATTTTACCCTACTTAATACAGGCTAATCTTCAATGGTATCCTTCGTGGATGATACTAACACTTTAATGTAAAATTTCTGTGGCCATAATTTACATTTTATGTGACTAGTGGTAAAATAGCCCAGCTATTTTGTCAGACAAGTAGTAAAGAAAAGAAAGGATGGAGGCCATTATGAGCAGAACAAGTTCATATATTAAAGCTCTCCCAATACCTCCGAGCATGACTATTTGGAGACAGAGCCCTGAAAGAGGTCATTAGGCTAAAACGAGGCCATTAGGGTAGGCCCTAACCCAGTCTGACTGGAGACACTAAGGATGTGGGTGCACAGAGGCAAGACCAAGTGAAAATACAGAGAGAAGGTGGCCATCTGCAACCCAAAGAGAGAGGTCTCGGGAGAAACTAATTCTGCCAGCACATTGGTTTTGGACTTCTAGTCTCCAAAACCATGAGAATATAAATTTCTGTTGTTTATGCCACCCAGTCTATAGTATTTTGTTATGGCAACCCTGCCAATCTAAGATAGAGGGTGACAGAGTTGGATATTTGTCACCTACCAAATCTCATGTCGAAATGTAACCCACAATTGGAAGTGGAGCCTGGTGGGAGGTGACTGGGTCATGGAGGTGGGGCAGATCCCTCATCAATGGTGTATTAGTCCATTCTTGCACTGCTATAAAGAAATACTTGACTTTGGGAGGCCAAAGCACGTGGATCACTTGAGGTTAGGAATTCAAGATCAGCGTGGCCAACATGACAAAAGACTATCTCTAATAAAAATACAAAAAAATTAGCTAGGCATGATAGCATGTGCCTGTAATCCCAGTTACTCGGGAGGCTGAAGCAGGAGAATCACTTGAATCCAGGAGGTGGAGGTTGCAGTGAGCTAAGATTGCACCACTGCACTCCAGCCTGGGCAACAGAGCAAGATGCTGTCTCAAAAAAAAAAAAAAAGGATAGAAATACCTGAGAGTGCCTAATTTATAAAGAAAAGAGGTTTAACTGGCTAATGGTTCTGCAGGCTGTACAGGAAGTGTGATGACATCAGCTCCTGGGGAGGCCTCAGGAAACTTACAAATTATAGCAAAAGTTGAAGGGAAGTTGGCATGTCTTACATGGCCAGAGCAGGAGGAAGAGAGAGCGGGAGGTGCTACATGCTTTTAAAACAACAAGATATTTGATAACTCACTCACTACCATGAGAACAGCATCAAGGGGACCGTGCTAAACCCCCATGATCCAATAACCTCCCACCTGGTCCCACCTCCAACATTGGGGATTACAGTTCAACATGAGATTTGGTGGGGACACAGATCCAAACCATATCAAATGGCTTAGAGCTGTCCTCATAATAGTGAGTGAGTTCTCACAATATCTGGTTCTTTAAAAGTGTATGGCACCTCCCCCACTCTCACTCCCATTTACCTTCCACTGTGAGTAAAAGCTACTTAAGGCCTCCCTGGAAGCCAAGCAGATGCCAGCACCATGCTTCCTGTACAGCCTGCTGAACTGTGAGCCAATTAAACCTCTTTTCTTTATAAATTACCCAGAATCATGTACTTCAGTATAGCAATGCAAAAATGGCCTAATACAGAGGGTAAATCCATAGATTTAAAAAAAAAAAAAAAAAAAGGCCAGGCGAGGTGACTCATGCCTGTAATCCCAACACTTTGGGAGGCCGAGGCAGGCGGATCGCAAGGTCAGGAGTTTTAAGACCAGACTGGCCAATGTGGTGAAATCCCATCTCTACTAAAAAATACAAAAAATTAGCAGGGCCTGGTGGCTCATGCCTGTAATCCCAGCTACTTGGAAGGCTGAGGTAGGAGAATGACTTGAGCCGGGCACCGGGGAGGCGGAGGTTGCAGTGAGCCAAGATCGCGCCACTGCACTCCAGCCTGGGCTACAGAGCAAGACTCCATCTCAAAAAAAAAAACAAAAAACAGGCTGGGTGTGGTGGCTCACACCTATAATGCCAGCACTTTGGGAGGCCAAGGCAGGTGGATCACTTCAGGTAAGAGGTTTGAGACCAGCCTAGCCAACATGGCAAAACCCTGTCTCTACTAAAAATACAAAAATAAATTAGCCGGGCAATGTGGCACACACCTGTAATCCCAGCTACTCAGGAGACTGAGGCAGGAGAATCATTTGAACCCTGGAAGCAGAGGTTGCATTGAGCTGAGATCACATCGCTGCACATCAGCCTTGGTGACAGAGTGAGACTCCCTCTCAAACAAACAAACCTCAGAAGACAACAAAAACATTTGAAGGGACAACACTAAACTATGTTGTCTAAAAATGTACATTTGGTTCATAGAACTATAAAAAAATACAAGGAAGTGATTACTATAAAAGAATCATGAAGGTAGTCTTTACTTTACATGATTCCAATATGCACAATTCCAATTCCAGTTTAGTTAAATTACAGCAGTGCCCCAATAACATATCTCAAATTTCACTTACCACATTATATTAACTTTAAGAAATTACATGAAGTACAAACTTCACTAATAGTTCTTCTGGCCACAGATCACTATGTAATTAACAGATGTGCATCATGATCAGTGACCAATTACATCACTCCTTTCAAAGTCCATAATTGGTCACTACTCATCTGTTATTCAGTTCTCTCACAGAGAGCAAACCAAGTATCTGTGTTGCTTCCTGGTCTCCCAGAGATAAACCCACATAACATTTTATAAAATGAATAATCGAAGAAGAAACTGGCCACCAAAGATGAAAGTGTAGCAAAGGAATGAAAAGTGACAATAACACTGGATGTAAAATATGAGTAGAATATAAACAGACTTACATATAGAAGAAATAGCTGACCATGGGAATGTGAGCATCACCACCACCTGAAGACTCTAGATGTGCCCCCGAAAGACCTTCATAAAGAAAAGTTACTGACGTACGTGAGAAAAGTTGTTGACATGAAAAAAATGAAGAAATGACACTAGCAAAAACTTTGCATTAAATGAACTCTTGCCGGGCGCAGTGGCTCACGTCTATAATCCCAGCATTTAGGGAGGCTAAGGCAGGTGGATCACCTGAGGTCAGGAGTTCAAGACCAGCCTGGACAACATGGCTAATCCCTGTCCCTACTAAAAATAGCTGGGCATGGTGGGGTGCACCTGGAGTCCCAGCTATTTGGGAGGCTGAGGCAGGAGAATCGCTTGAACCTGGGAGGTGGAGGTTACAGTGAGCCATAATCACGCCACTGCAATCCAGCCTGGGCAACAGAGCAAGACTCCATGTCAAAAAAAAAAAAAAAAAAAAAAGAAAAGAAAAAGGGAACTCTTGGAGGCACTTCCCAATGTTGAAAGCACAAAAGATAAAATCTTAAAAGCTGATTCAAACTTCAAAACTAGTATAAAAATTCATCAAGGCATAGAAAAGATGCTTGTTGTATATCCTAAGTTATATGATGAGAAAAACGAAGGCAAGCACTATTCAAACTACTCTTGATAAGTTTTTACAAAGAAATGAAACCTTTTATTCTCACTGTTGCTAATATTTTAAATTATAGGGTACAACACTTTACTATGTTTTCACTTCCCTATACAATTATAACAGACAGTAAAAGGGCTTTTAATGTTTTGACACAAATTTTTAAAGATTCCAGAACAGTCACAATTTTTCCCACTGATTATTAGGATAGCTTATCAGTGTTTCAGCATGAACTATCATTTTTCCACTACACAATGCTGTGTAAAGCAAGAACTGCCTGTAGTTACTTTTGGAGGAGGGAATTATGACTGGGATAGAACAGAAGGAGGAGCTTCTGGGGTGACCGGCAAAGTTCTATTTCTGACCAGAGTGATAGCTTTACGAGGGTATTTGCCTTATAAAAATTTGTGAAACTAAAATAATGTTACTGGTGCAAATTCATGGGAGCAGCAGACTAGTTCATGAGGACCAGTCTGAACTATCAGTCCAGCAGTCATCTTTCTAAGAAAAAAGAAAAGAAAAGCCACAGAAAGGTACTTGGCAGAGGGTACAAAGGCTGCTGTCAGACATGAAATCAGAACCCATGCCTTCCTGGACGCCAGATCTGTACTCCTCTCTTTAAAGCTTGCCAGTCTTTCATGAAACAGACCTCTCGTAAAGGGCATCATTATTGTCCATTTCCAAGAGAGGTAATTCAGCCAGGTTTGGGTATGGGGCCTGGGGATTTAAGATACATTACTTAGGCCAGGTGCAGTGGCTCATGCCTGTAATTCCAGCACTTTTGGAGGCTGAGGCAGTGGATCACGAGGTCAGAGTGCAAGACCAGCCTGGCCAAGAGGGTGAAACCCATCTCTACTAAAAATAAAAAAATTAGCCGGGCACGGTGACAGGCACCTGTAATCCCAGCTACTTGGGAGGCTAAGGCAAGAGAATTGCTTGAACCCAGGAGGCAGAGGTTGCAGTGAGCAAGATCACGCCACTGCACTCCAGCCTGGGCGACAAGATGCATTAATTAATACTAATTAGAATGAATCAATACTTTGGTTTCCCTTCTAGATTAAGTATTGTAACATTTTTGCGCCTCACTTAAGTAACTGAATAGCTTCTGATGTTTTTGTTTTTTTTTTCATGCAAAATCCATCAGGAATTACATAGCTTCTATTTGCTTAAATTTGGAGAAAATGTTTTCTCATCACTTTGTACCCATCTTTTATTAACACTGTGAGAACAACTTACATAACTGGAATATTACCTTCATCTGATTTAGTTGGCTAATAAATTCACAGCACATACTAAAAGTCTTCTATTTTGTTTTCAGACAGGGCCTTACTCTGTGGCCCAGGTTGGAGTGCAGTGATGCAATCGTAGCTCACTGCAGACAATTCCTGGACTCATGTCATCTTCCTGCTTCAGCCTCTCAAAAAGCTTGGAGTACTACGCCTGGTCAATTTTGTTGGTGGAGTTGAGATGGTGTCTTGCTGTTCCCCAGGCTGGTTTTGAACTCCTGCCCGCATGCATTCCTCCTGCCTTGGCCTCCCAAAGTGCTGGGATTAGAGGTGTGAGCCACTGTGTCCAGCCTAAAAGTCTCTTAAGATTTATTCTCTTACTCTTGAAGTAAATGTCCCTGACATTAAAGGAATTTCAAAAGGGTAGCAGAGGGGGTTGTAATAAAAAACCACAGAAGGAAAAAAAAAAAAAAAAACCACAGAAGGATGTCCTGCAGCAAAATCATAAATGATATTTTATGTTCTATTTTTAGATGCACAAAAACATGGTTACTTTTTTTGTTTTTGGAGATGGACTCTCGCTCTGTTGTCCAGGCTAGATTGCAATGGCATGATCTCGGCTCACTGCAACCTCCGCCTCCTGAGTCAAGCAATTCTCCTACCTCAGCCTCCCAAGTAGCTGGGATTACCGGTGCCTGCCAACATGCCCAGCTAAGTTTTGTATTTTTTGTAGAGATGGGGGTTTCACTATCTTGGCCAGGCTGGTCTTGAACTCCCTACCTTGTGATCCACCCACCTCAGCCTTCCAAAGTGCTGGGATTACAGGCGTAAGCCACTGCGCCTAGCCAGCATGGTCACTTTTAACACAACCAGTCAATTATAAGTACAGTGTTAGGGTTTTTGATTCCTTAAGTACCAAGGGAAGAATATAGTCAGTTTAGAACATACAAAGAGAAATGCACTGAGCATAAAGGCAACTGGGTTTTGGCATATCAGAATAACAATTAGGTTTTAAAGCTGCAAGCTCTGTTTTCTTCAAAATGACCCTTTCTCCAAGATTTTGTAATAAAATGGAAAGAAATTCTGGTATCTAGAGAGAAATCAGATCTGTTAAACATTTTTGAGGGGAGAAAGAAATGATATAGAGCTACCATTTTAATAATAGAATATGGCTGTTTATTTTGTAGAGAATGCAGTCCACAAAAGTATTTCTACCTTCCTGACAATGATGAGCTCCTGAAAAAAGGATACAATTTGAACTTTATTTCATTTTATTTTTGAGACAAGCTCTCACTCTGTTGCCCAGGCTGCAGTGCAGTGGCATGATCTCAGCTCACTGCAACCTCCACCTCCCAGGCTCAAGCAATCCTCCTATCTCAGTCTTCTGAGTAGCTGAGACCACAGGCACACGCCACCATGCCCTGCCAACTTTTCATATTTTTTGTAGAGATGGGGTTTCACCATGTTGCCTAGGCTGCTCTTGAATTCCTGGGCTCAAGCAATCTGCCTACCTTGGCCTCCGAAAGTGCTGGGATTACAGGTGTGAGCCATGGCACCCAACCGAATTTTAGTAATTTGAATTATACAGGCATGCCTTGGAGATATTGTGGGTTTGGTTATGGACCACCATAATAAAACAAATATCACAGTAAAATGAGTCACATGAATTTTTTTGGTTTCCCAGTACACATAAAAATTATGTTTACAGGGCCGGGCACAGTGGCTCATGCCTGCAATCCCAGTACTTTGGGAAGCCGAGGTAGGCAGATCACAAGGTCAAGAGATTGAGACCATCCTGGCTAACATGGTAAAGCCCTACCTCTAATAAAAACACAAAAATTAGCTGGGTATGGTGGCACGTGCCTGTAGTCCCAGCTACTCAGGAGGCTGAGCAGAAGAATTGTTTGAACCCAGGAGGCGGAGGTTGCAGTGAGCTGAGATCGCATCACTATACTCCAGCCTGGGGAGAGCAAGATTCCATCTCAAAAAAAAAAAAATTATGTTTACATTATATTGTAGTCTATTCAGTAGGCCATAGTATTATGTCTAAAAGAAACAACATACATATACCTTATTTAAAAATACTTTATTGGCCAGGTACAGTGGCTCATGCCTGTAACCCCAGCACTTTGGGAGCCCAAAGCAGGTGCCCAGGAGTTCAAGATTAGCCTAGACAAGTTGGTGAGACCCCCATTACTACAAAAAAAAAACAATTTTTTTTTTAATTAGCCAGGAGCAGTGGTGCAGACTTTTCGTCCTAGGTACTTGGAAGGCTGAGGCAGGAGGACTGCTTTAGCCCAGGAATTCAAGATGGCAATGAGCTATGATCACACCACTGCCTCCAGCCTGGGCAACAAAGTGAGACTCCATCTGAAAAATATATAAATAAAAATACTTTACTGCCAAAAATGCTGATGATCATTTTTATGACCTTCAGCAGGTCATAATCTTTTTGCTGGTGGAGGGTCTCGCCTTAAGACTGGTGGCTGCTGACTGATGAGGGTGATCATTGCTGAATGTTGGGCTGGCCACTGCAATTTCATAAAATAAGACAACAATGAAGTTTCTGATTCGACCAATTCTTCCTTTAATGAGTTTTCTCTGTTATACGTAACAAGTGTTTGACAGTATATTATCCACAGAACTCCTTTCAAAATCAGAGTCAATCCTCTCCAACCCAGTCGTTGCTTTATCAACTAATTTTATATAATATTCTAAATTATCTGTTGTCATTTCAACAATATTTACAGCATCTTCACCTGGATAGATTCTTTCATTCAAAAAAATCTCCAAATATGTTGAATTTCTTTAGGAGTTAGAAAAGAGTATTATAAACTGAGATGCACAATGGCAAGCCACATATGCATCCAAAGAGGGGAGCGTAAAGGGAAGCTTTTATTGATGGAATGAGAGGTTCACATAAGCTGCTTGAAAACAGAGCTCGCTGGTTTCAGGGAGTCAGAGATGGTACAGGTTCATTGGTGAAGATGCCGTTGAGAGCATCTTGTCTGAATTGCTGCAATTCTAAAGAAAGAATTATTTGTGGGGTTATTTTGGAAAGTCCTTGAGATAGCCATGCAAACATAAGCCTTCCTCTTCATGCTCTCCTGGCTCTTGTTTGTTTGGGTATAACAAAAGGTGATTTCATCTGGTATCAACTTTCACAAGTCCACCCCAAGAAACCACTTTCTTTGCTCATCCATTCAAGTTTTATCATGAGATGGCAGAAATTCAGTCACATCCTCAAGCTCCACTTCTAATTCTAGTTCTCTTGCTATTTCCACCACATCTGCGTTTCTTTTCTGCAACACCTCTTGAATCCCTCAAAGTGACCCGAGGGTTGGAATCAGCCTCTTCCAAACCCTGTTAATGTTGATATTTTGACCTCCAACATTCCCTAAAGCTAAAGCCTGATCCGGAACAAGGCTCTGACTCCTGTCAATTGTGTAAAGGCTGAGAGAGTGTGAAGCTGCAGAAAAAAAGTCTGAAGCTAGCAGAGATTGGTTCATGAGACTTAAGAAAAGAAGCCCTCTCTACAACATAAAAGTACAAGGTAAAGCAGCCAGTGCTGATGTTGAAGCTACGGCAAGTTATCCATAAGCTCTAGCTAAGATCATTGATGAAGATGGCTACACTGAAGAATAGATTTTCAATGTGGATGAAAGAGTCTTCTACTGGAAGAAGAGTCCATTTAGGACTTTCAGAGCTAGAAAAGACAAGACAATGGGTGGCCTTAAATTCAAAGGATAGGCTGACTCTCTTGTTAGGGGCTAATGCAACTGGTGACTTTAGTTGAAGCCAATTCTCATTTGGAATCATGAATGCTCTTAATGGCATCTCAAAAGGTAAATCCTTTCCAAAAGATTTTCCATGTACTTTTCCCAGATCCATCAGAGGAATCACTTTCTTTGACAACTACAGCCTTACAAACTGTATTTCTTAAATAAGACTTAAAAATAGAAATTAACTCCTTGATCCATGGGCTGAAGAATGGATGTTGTGTTTAGTAGGCATGAAAATATTAACCTCCTTGTACAGTGCCATCAGAGCTGTTTAATTGACTCACAGTTCCGCATGGTTGAGGAGGCCTCAGGAAACTTACAATCATGGCAGAAGGGGAACCAAACACTTCCTTCTTCACATGGCAGCAGCAAGAAGTGCCAAGCAAAAGGAGAAAAAGCCCCTTATAAAACCATCAGATCTCATGAGAATTCACTGTCACAAGAACAGCATGAGAGTAACCACCCCCATGATTAAATTACCCCCTACCAGGTCCCTCCCATGACATGTGGGGATTATGGGAGCTACAATGCAAGATAAGATTTGGGTGGGGACAAAGCCAAACTATATCAGTTGGCCAGGCTAGTCTTGAACTCCTGGTTTAAGTGATCCTCCTGCCTCAGCCTCCTAAAGTGCTGGGATTATAGGAGTGAGCCACTGTGTCCAGCCCTAGAGTAGCACTTTTAATTTCCTTCAAGAATTTTTCCTGCCGTGCGCGGTGGCTCAAGCCTGTAATCCCAACACTTTGGGAGGCTGAGGCGGGTGGATCACGAGGTCAAGAGATCGAGACCATCCTGGTCAACATGGTGAAACCCCGTCCCTACTAAAAATACAAAACATTAGCTGGGCATGGTGGCGCATGCCTGTAATCCCAGCTACTCAGGAGGTTGAGGCAGGAGAATTGCCTGAACCCGGGAGGGGGAGGTTGCGGTGAGCCGAGATCCCGCCATTGCACTCCAGCCTGGGTAACAAGAGCGAAACTCTGTCTCAAAAAAAAAAAAAAAGAATTTTTCCTTTGCATTCACAGCTTGGCTAGCCCTTTGGCACAAGAGTCCTAGCTTTCATCCTATCTTGGTTTTTGAAATGCCTTCCTCACTAATATTAATTCTAATTCTTGACTTAATGTGAGACTCTTTCCTTCAGTTGAATGCTTAAAGGCCATTGTGGGATTCTTAATTCACCTAATTTTATTTGTATTATTATTATTATTTTTGAGATGGAGTTTCACTCTTGTTGCCCAGGCGAGTGCAAGGGCACGATTTTTGCTCACTGCAATCTCTGCCTCCCGGGTTCAAGCAATTCTCCTGCCTCAGCCTCCCAAGTAGCTTGGAGTACAAATATGCACCACCACGCCTGGTTAATTTTGTATTTTTAGAGATATGGTTTCACCATGTTGGTCACACTGGTCTCAAACTCCTGACCTCAGGTGATCCGCCTGCCTCAGCCTCCCAAAGTGCTGGGATTACATGCATGAGCCACCATGCCTGGCCAATTCACCTAATTTTAATATTGCTGTATCTTAGGAAGTAGGAGGCCCAAAGAGAGCGAGAGAGATGGGTAACAGCTGGTCAGTGGAATAGC